CTTCAGGGTGTCTAGGAATAGCCCTAAACTCTGTCCACTGGGGGAAGATCAACTTTCATGGAAAACTGGGACCTAGTCAATCTTCTTGAAATATCAGGAAACAGAAATGACAGTTTCTCTGGGATCCCCAAAAGCAGTCGTGACAGAAACAAACCTCTGGGTGAATTCTTTGCGGTAAGACTGGAAATGGAACTTAACCAGTAAAGGTTAGAGGGTCCCTAACAAGTTTTAAAGTTGAGAATAATGATCTTCAGTATGAATTCATAGCCTTCCCTCTTCAGTGTCATAAATAAAACAATGTGAGACGTTTCATATTTTAAATGTAGGTATACTGCTATGGCACAATGCCTGAATCAGCACCTACTCTTCCCCCAAGTTCAAGATACTTTAATATTTTATATAACTAACCTCTTATTATTTTACATCACAAATATAAAAGGGAGGAGACTGAGAATCAGTACCAAAGCAGCAATCTGAACTGTACCATACAACAGCTAAGAGCTTCACGATGCTGATTGGATTCTAGACCGGAAAAGGGCCATTAGTGTTTCTTTTGAAGGGAGGCTCTGTTACTTTGGTCTCTTAAACACAAATGCAGAATATACCCTTAGTTACAGTGAAAACAATCTCTACTCATCAAAGTAGGATACTTCTTAAACATTTTTTTTGGCCAGGATATTAGTTCACATGATCTTAAAAGTCAGTATGTATGTTTACAGCCCCCAATTTTTATACGTTTAAAAGTTTATGTTTAAAAGTAACTTTAAGATCTTATTTTGTTCTTAAACAACATATATTCTAAAGTGAGGTTGATCTAGTTTATCAACTTTGCTGCATCCTGGTTGTTTCAAGAGTATTTTAAAAGGGAGAATCAGTGTCTTAACTCAGCCATAGATATGTAAGTACATTCTTTTAACTGATGTTTGAATCTGAAATATCAGCCCTCATTACAGTATAGGACAAACAGAAGAATAATAACCCCATCTTATTTGTATCAGGTCTCTTAACAATCAGTGAGATCAGGTGCATATTTTGCTTGATCACTGTGAAAGCTGGTGTGGGTCACACTGTTTATAGTATTAAACGTTTTGCTACCATGAATGAAAGCACCCAAAGTATATGAACCAAACATTTAAAACAAAATCGGCATGGGGGGTGAACCATTACAAATGAACTGCATAAGGATTAAAACTGTATAACTTCAGCATATCCACAACGGTTAATGCAATCACATTCCAACTATGTCCACTCTTGGCAGAGCTTATAAACAGGGATGCCAGAAAACATTATTCTTTTTCCAAACATTAACTCCACATTCAAAAGTCTGATAGTGTTGAGTCTTAAAATCTCTTGGCAACGGGTTTTAGCCATTAATTGAAAAAAACTCAGCTGGATAAACCAAAACTATTCAGCTGTTTCAGCCACACATGTAACCTTTAGAGCCCTGTATACTGGAACTGCAGGAGGTATTCTAGAACGTATGTTCCCCGCCGTGGGGAACTGCAGTGGGCACTTCCCTCGACTGCCGCCCAGGCAACAGCGCTTTGGATCCCTGAGACCCTCCCTCCACAGTCCTGTGGCCACACTGGCTGCAGAGGGGCCTTCCCCACTCCAGGGAGCTGGGCGACTATCCCAAAGGAAGGGACACTCCCTGAGCTCACACAGGCCAACAAAGCACTCCTCCCCCTCTTCCTTCTCTCTCTCCTCTGCAGATGATACACTCCTCCAGGAGGTTCAAACTGACCAGGGGACTATTTTAACTTATTTTAATTTATTTAATTAATTTAATTTATTTATTATTTATAATAATTATTTTAATTTATTTAAATTAAAATACAGGTCTAAAGTTAGAGTTCTTGGGCAAAGAAAATCTACTTTTTAAAGAAACATATGTTTATTAGAGGAAAAAATAGAGAGTAGAGAAAATATAACAATACCCAGAGTTGAACCTTTTAAAGTCCTCCTTCTAACATTTTGCTATAATTATGTTCTGTCTTACTTTATTCAGAGGCTTTTTTCTATTATTAGGACATTACTGTGTATTCATATTTTACCTAACACTATATCCTAAGCAGCTTTCTATGTTAACAGTCTTTTCACCAAGTAGCTGCTTAATATTGCAGGTATTACATGTTTTACTGAACTGGTTCCTCACCATTCAATTTGCCAATTCACTTTTAAAACCATTTATTCATGGAGTATCTACTACATTCAAGTCACTGGATTAAATATTGTAAGTATACATATATGAATAAGTGGCTCCTCTCAGAATGCTCTTCAAAACTACAAAAGACACAAATATATATATGCAGCATACACACATATGCATGTGTACACCTGCTATACCTGGCCCTAATACACACATATGCATGTGTACACCTGCTGTACCTGGCCCTAAGCCACTTATTTTTTTTTTAAGGGCACATTAATTTTACTCAGGATGAGATAGAACTTTTTCAGCCTATATGTAATAAAGATTTTCCTAACAAAGAAAATCTGTAGTTCTGACTACAAGAAAATTTAGAATGTAATTCTTTTTAAATATGCTTATAGGATTGAAATATTCTAACTTCCTTTCCATGTATTCCTTTTATTGCTAATTTCTGTTATTCTTGTCTGCTGGATTTGCCTTAACATGACTGATCAGGGAATCTTTTACATAGCCTCAAAAGAAAGAAATTCTGAGCATCGTTAAATATTTTATCTTAAGAACATCCCCAACCCAAAGTATTAACTACACCTGTGTTTTAGGCAAAATTGCTGTATGATGTAATACTGGGCTGGTCCACCTGGGAAGGGTGATAATGCACTGAGTTTTTCTTTGGGTGTTGGTACTGGGAGAGGAACAGACATCTGGAAACAGATGTTTTGGAGCCACAAAGACTTAGATATAAATTTTCCTCTCAGCCCTTAACTAGCTTTGTGATCTTCAGCATGTTCCTAAAATAGAATAAAATAAAATACTCACTGTACCTCAGTTTCCCTGTTTGTAAAAAGGAGTTAATAATATTTACCTTGCAGGGTGGATGTAGGGATTCCAGAAAATCTACGTGACGCCAAGCATGTGCCTGACATACAATGAGTATGCTTATTTCTATAATGAGTACATATTTTGTTTTTAAAAGACAAACATAACTATGTAGGGAGAAATTTAAAGAGAAAAACGAATTTACTGGGCTTTATTGAAATGAATTGCAATTCATTACTCACTTCCTAGTGAAGAGTCTAAATCTTGAAAATTCAAGAAGCTGGAAATGTGGACTAGAGTGCCCTGAGGCCAACCAAGATCACCTTGTAACCCAGCTCCTAAAACGTAGTTAATCCCAGGCTTTTCCTCCTTTTTGTGTATTTGCGAATATACATCAAAGACAATGGAGTAAACGCCTTGGTGTGGGAAAGCCACATCCATTCTCCAATCCTGTTTCAGGACGATTTGCTCCCCTCTCTAGTTCTCACCTCAGCCCCCAAGCTGAGAGAGACCCAGAGCAACAGAGGTGATTAGCTGCTGCTCTGTCAGCAGGTGGAATTAACTGCTCATCTTCTGGAAAAGTAGATGCTTGCCCACAGAGACTAGTGTGGAAAAGCCGTTTCTGGCCCTGCAGCACTTTCCCTCGCGTTTTACACAGGAGCTCTGACACTCAGTGCCCTCTGAATCTGAAGGAAATTTCCTGGCTAATGAAGGATTCCCTGAAGAGTGGCTCCATAAATTACCACACATTCGATTACCAGAGCTAACAGAACAGTAAGTGTTCCCAAGGGCCGTAAGCATCCCTGGAATTCTCATTTTTCCCATTTGAGTCAAACTGGAGTTAAAAAGTTGCAACTGATTATATGAAATCAACCATCTTTACTCTGTCAGAGTAATTCAACCAACATTAAAATACAGATAATATTCCCAGGGATTAAAAAAAATAAATCTTAAGTTTTTTCCTCCATGGGGGCCAGATAGGTTTAGACCTCTGAACAGTCTTGGGACTGGTCTGGGCTTCCACCCTGGGAGGAGTTAGGAAGCTCTGGATGTAAAGGTAAAGACAGCCTTGAAAGCTGTGTGTTTGAGAGAAATTACCTATAGAACCAGCAGGAGGACAGGGTTTTGCTTAAAACCTGTATCATTTTTGGAGTTGTAACACACAGAGAATTTCAAAAAATCTCTAATCTCAGAAGAATCTGTACATAAGTCCTGTCTTTGTTTTCTAATCCACGAAACCCAAGTTGTTTCCTTGGGCTAAGGACTGTAGGGTCAGTGCTAATGGTGATTTCAGACACCAGTGTGCTAACAGCACACCCCAAAACACAAAAAGCTTAATTTCAGAAGGTTACTCTGAAAACTGTCCTTTGCACTTGCCCTTCCCCTACCCAGAAAAACTGACCCCAGACATATGTGTACAGTCCCTTCACTCACTCCATTTGGGTCTCTGATCAAATGTCTTCTTACTGGAGAAGCCTTCCTGACCATCCCATTTGAACACAAACACACTCAGAATCAGACTTGGTATCACCTTAGGATGACTCCCTTTTCTTATTCCTTATTTTTCTTTCTCACTGCCTCTCATATTATAGATGTATTTGTTTGTTTGTTTTCCACCTGCCCCTCTACCAGTGTAAGCACAATGAAAGGAGGAACTTTGTTTTTTCACTGCTGTATCCCACCCAGTACTCCACAGAGCACCTGAACACATGACCACTGTTCAATAAACATCTGTCACACGAATGAATGAACTGTAGGTGTTTTAGCCAAATGCTATATGTCTCCAATTGTCTTCCGGACAAGATATAAACTAACTAAGCTCCTGAGACCCACACAAGGCTGCTATCCCCTCAGACGTCTTTTTGTGCAGCTTATGAAACAAGTGTATCCATGTGAGCTACCCTGAGGGTCTACAAGGAGCAAGTTCCTCTTCTGATCTTCCCAGGCTGTAACACTGATGAGCGTGCCACGTGCCTCCTCCCTGCATCTCAAATTTTCCCATGCTCAGTGAAACCTAGATCTCTTTTCTTACCATATTGATCTGAAGAGCTAGTGAACAGAAGGTAGTCAGAAGCACAGGTCTGGGATTCAATATCCAAATCTCCCAACCTCAGAATCAATCTCTTCCCCTTCGGTACTGTGATCGTCTTTTCACAAATAGTGTGATTGGGGTAAGTCCCTGGATAATTCTTAGATGTCATGGTGCCACTGTCCTTGTAGGTCACTATGTGCCCACAGCCATCACCTGTTAAAGAAAAAAGAATACAAAAAGTAAGTGAGGGCTTCCCTGGTGGCGCAGTGGTTGGGAGTCTGCCTGCAGATGCAGGGGACGCGGGTTCGAGCCCTGGTCTGGGAGGATCCCACCTGCCGCGGAGCAACTGGGCCCGTGGGCCACAACTACTGAGGCTGCGCGTCTGGAGCCTGTGCTCCGCAACAAGAGAGGCCACGATAGTGAGAGGCTCGCGCACGGCGATGAAGAGTGGCCCCCGCTTGCCGCAACCAGAGAAAGCCCTCGCACAGAAACGAAGACCCAACACAGCCAAAAATAAAATAAATAAATTAATAAACTCCTACCCCCAACATCTTCTAAAAAAAAAAAAAGTAAGTGAAATTAATTTTTACTGAGGACTGAAAACGTCCAGTTTCATCTTAGATATTCTACTCCTTCTATGGAGAGAGAGGGAAAAGCTAAAAAAAATAAAAAATAAAAAAGGACTGAATTATTAAACAGTATTTATTATTCCAGGTTATTTCATCTCTTGTTTCTCAGTTTAATCTTCTGAACACTGTTGATCAAAATGTTTCATGTATTAGCATGGTAAGCCCTTTGCAAACACATCATTTAGTCAAATTACTTTTTCTAATCATCTATCCAGATATCTACCCATCCACACTTGCACAGTGGGCCCTTGGCATTCACAGATTTACCATTTGTGGTTTTGTCTACTAGCAAGCCAATGCCATGAAATAATTTGCAACCGAGAAAATACTACTACTCATTTCAGGGGTTACTGTCCTGATCAAATGGGATCATGTATGCAAAATGCTCCTGGTAGATTCTGAGGCTTATGCTGAGAGGACTTTGTTTAAGAGCCTGTCATTCAACTGGGGACTAACAAGCATCTGACATGCACATCTCAGTTAGTAACAGTCACAGATTTGGAAGTTCCTGATAGACTCAATATGTATCATGAGCGTCAAGGATCTACTGTATTGAGTGCTTGCCACCTGCCAGACATGGCATTGTTGGAGACACACAAAAGCAGCAATGGCTGCTCAGGACTCAGAGTGAAATGGGAGAGTTCCATGTTCAGATAACTATAACACTAGGTGCCCCTGCCATAGCAGGAGCTTAAACAAAGGGCCAAAGAGGGCAAGAGAGCATCTATCTCAGTGAGTTCTCCCTACTTCACTAAAACAAGGAATTCTCTTAAGACTTTCTGAACAGGGAAGTTAATCAATTGACCAACAAGTTGTTCCCGTATATTAAAGTGACCAGGTTAATCACCCAAACATCTAATAGCATGCACAACTGGGTGGGCTGCAAGGTTAGGAGCAAACACTGCACGCAAAGTACGAGGTACAAAATGCCTGTGGTTACTACAGCTTCAAAGAAACAAAGCCAGAATTTTTGCCCTTCACCGGAGGGAGAGAAAGTAGAAGTCTGTTGGAGAAGGAACTCTCTGAGGTGGTAACAGAAGGCATCCCAAAGCCTCCTATGGACAAGCCCCAACTTGGGCATCCTGGGAATCTGAAGTCCAAGGCAGGCTTCTTCCTTCTCCAGGCTAGTCCCTGCTAGAGGATTCATCTGGGGTCTTCCTTTATTCTACCTCCTTCTTGCCCTGAGGCTTGCAGCCCAAATGACATGGGGGCCTAGTTAAAATAAGGGGTTGGGGAAAACTGCAGAATCTATCCCAAATCAGCAGTCAAGCTCCAGGCAAGGACCCACCCATTATGCAGAAACTCACAAGATTCCAAGCAGGGAGGCTGCACTGGGGGAGTTGACCTATAGGAGCAATGAGTTAGTACCAGAGGGAAATGGAGATAGACAGCTAAGATAAAACTACTCTGAAACCTAGAGGTCCAGGCAGAAGTTGTGGAATTTATACAGTAGGCAATAGGGGTCCACAGAGGTTTTTGAGAAGGGAGATAATGAAAGAGGTGCTAGAAAAAGTTTTGATACAGGAACTAGAATGCAGGAGAATCTGCCTGAGAAGAGCAGTAGGAGGGCTAGGAACGGGGTGGCTGGAATGGAAAGGGAAAGAAAAACAGGGGGTTCACAAGAAAAAAATCAACAGGCTCACGTTTCGGTTAATTATAGTGGGAAAGACAAGAGGAGAAAAAAGTTAAAAAACGTTGAGACGTTGAGTCCAGAAATGATGGGAACACTGAGGCTAATATGACAGAAAGGGAAGCCCAGAGGGCAAGCAGGTTTGGGGACAAAGGTTGTAAGTTTGGTTCTTAAGTTTGAGGTGATAGCTATATTCCTTGGGCTCTCTGGCAGTAAGTACCAAATTGTTGAGAATTAAATGAAAATTATACTAAAGCATACGGTGCAGAAGCACGTAGCAAATTTAAATTTAGAATTATTTACCTGCTCTTAAAGGCTTTTGTAAAAAAAAAAAAAAAAAATCCAATTGACAATTTCTCTTGGAAACTGGAAGACAGGGCAATCATACCAGCAGGTGTTCTCACAGGGCTGAAGGCGGTGGCTGCCCCTTTAAAGGAGACAAACGCCCTAGCTCCCCACAAGGTCCTGTAACTCGTTTCTAAGACTCGCCCACCTTAGGAGGCAGTGACTTTGAGCACCCTGATGAAACAACACTAGGGTAACTAGTGTACAAGTATGCATATAAATATACACATAACTAACCCCCTCTAAGCCACCAAGGTATCACCTGTGAAACCTTTAAACGTCTCGTTTCTTAGTACTATGAAATTATGCTTTTATAAGAGAAAAGAAAGTGAAATCTTTTCCTAGAAAACATCCCTAGACATAAAATGAGCCTCAGTTACAGGTGAATTAGCCCACACATGATTACTGTATTCGAAGTTTTAAGCGACAAGTCATGACAAAGGAAAATTCCAGGGTGTCGCTTTTATTCAAGCCTGTAATTATGCTTCTTTTCAATGCCTTCTACTCTAACGCCCAAGAGGAAACTCATCTCACCCAGCGACACTGGCAGAATGTGAGCAGGTTTAAGTCTTCAACACTCCCATCCTTACTTTACGTGGGGGATTGTGGCTCAGATGTGGAGAAGCTTCCCTTTTCCATTAACTATCAGAATGAAACTAGGTCTTTCTTCTGCCAAAAAACCTGAAAGGAACGGCTGAGTCCTAATTTATTACAAAGCAAACTGTCATCAGAAGTTGCAATTTCACCCCGGCCTATGGAAGACTACTTATGGAGTCTGCTGTGGCAAGCACTAATATAATAAACTTATTTCCTGGGTACTAATGACATCAGGAATTTTCAACCTACTGTCTTTCCACCGTTTTGATGGCTTCAAAGGACTAGATATAGTTAACAATATTATAGTATATAATTGGAAGTTGTTAGGAGAGTACATCTTAGATGTTCTCACCACAAAAAGGAAACAGTGATTACGTGAGGTGATAGCAGTGTTAGCAAATGCTACAGTGTTAAATAACTTTGAAATACATAAATGTATAAAACCAATGCACTGTAGACTTAAACTTACACAACGTCATATGTCAATTATATCTCAATAAAACTGAGGGAAAAAAAGAACTAGAAATATGCCAAAGAGCAAATGGAAAATGCCTAGGGAGAGAAAATGCCTATGGTATCATATAATGAATAAGGCATATGCATGCAATTGAAAACAACAGAGAAGCACTATTTCCACGACCTCATTCTAACACTTTTGTAGCTTAACTCAAGAGCCCAACTCTAATTAAGAAACACTGACAAGAAAGACGACAAGAGTTATTTAAAAATCTACCAGTTCACGTTCCATATGCAATGTATCAACATCAATATCATGGTTGTAATATTATACTATAGCTTTGCAACATGCTGTCACAGGGGAAACCAGGTAAAGGTACACAACATCTCTCTGTATTATTTCTTACAACTGCATGTGATCTATGATTATCTCAGAATAAAAAATTTAATTAAAAATTTTTGAAAAAATCTGTCAGTCTGGTTAAGTTTTCCTGGCAGGGGGTGAAAATGAAGGGGCTTTTTCTATTTTATACTTTTTATACTATTTGGATTTTGTGATCTTCTACTTAAATTATTTTTAATTAAAGAATTTATACAAGCTTGCATTAAAAAGATCACCATGGAATGACAACAAATAAAGGAGGCCACTTTTATTCTAAAGTCTCTGTGTACTAAATCCATTAACCAAGTTCTCACATTTGTCTAAAGAGCATAGGGTGTCGTGTCTGGGGAGGTTCATAATATATGCCCCAGTTTACAGATGAGAAGACAAGATGTATATGACTTTCCTTAAGGCTACTCAACCAGTGGTACATACTAGATGACAATTCCAAGATGATCTAGTTCTAGGATTTTAAAAACACTTTTGTCACCTCTTTGATTTTGTAACACAAGTGTATTTGTGTTTAATTTTGGAAAACCACCTGCACTGATGCCCTACCAGACCTCTTTTTAGATACTTTCACAACATCTGTCTATTAAAATGAACAGCTCCCTAATAAGATATATCTGGCAACGGTCACAAATAGATGGAAAACCTTTGGGTAGAAGGTTGAGGAAGAACTTTATTTTTTTTAATTAATGTTTATTGGAGTATAGTTGCTTTCCAAGAGGAAAAACTTTAAAATGAAAGGATCAGGCAGGTCACCATCTAAACTTATTAATGGATCTTAGCATGACAACAAGTGAGAAAATCAGATATTACAAGTCTGCTAGAATAAAATGTGCTCTGCATAGCAACACCCATGAAGCACTCTTGCCAAAAAGCAAAACATTTGAATTGATAATTGACTCTGAATCTCATCAAGTCTTTACGTCTAACTTCAGTTTACAGGAAACAGAAGGGGTAGAAACACAAGTGTACTGACACCACAAGGAAGTCATTAGCTGAATCCAAGTGATATTCTAGGCGCAACTGACCCAGTTTCTTCAACAACGAATTGTATAAAGAAACGTTTAAAAAAGTGTTTATTTTAACTAAAAATAGAATTACCATATGATCCAGCAATCCCACTACTGGGCATATACCCAGAGAAAACCATAATTCAAAAAGATAC